GCCCCCCCCCCCTGGGTGTGTGATGAACACAAGTCACTGAACTGGAACGGGCTCAATCAACATGTGAGGTTTGTACACTCCCTGAAATGCTATTTGTTGTACGAAAAGTTGAGACAGAATCTCAGTGACTGATTGCGATGCGACAAGCTGTGTTCCCGTGAGATATCTTCAAAAAACGATGACGCTTACATCCGTTTTTGTGTTACGTTGTTTCGAAGCTCAGATTGTAATTAAATTTAAATAAATATCATAATACAACGAAAATTATAAATGTAGCTGTCACTGCAATTTGAGTGATGCAGCCCTACACCCCTCCCTCCACCCCGCCAATCTGTTAACCTGGGATTCGGCCGAATTGAAGCAAAGGAAGTCTTTCATGTGATAGTTCAATTGCGTGCAACGCCATCACACCGTCAAAATTGCACCTCTGAAAGTTGCGTTTTATGCGGATGGACCAGAAATACCATATAGGCTGTGATAATCGGAATAGTACTGAATGTAGGAATAAGAGAACCCTTATTGTACTGCTCAGAATTGGATTGGCTCCAACCCGAACTGCGGACACACCAATGGAATACACGAGGAATTGAGAGCAGCAAATGCTTATGTTTATTGATGGAATTAGGGCATGTTGTACAGAAGGTAATAGTCCATATGATTGGTTGAGCGATCGCCGTTCAATCATTTAACCGTTTGCACCGACGCATCATATGTACTAACTCGGATGTCATGTTCGCCCGGTGTACCATTGGCCGAGCTTCCTGAACGGTGATTGGATGACGTAAAACTGTTCCTAGTCGTGCCAGGATTGCGGTCACGGAAGTCTAGATCATCACATAGGGACTCCTCCAAATTTATCAATAGACTAGGAAATTATCTCCGATAGAGTAGTCATGAGAATACAAGATAGTAGACATGCTCTTTCTCGGTGCTACATCTACCCACACATCTGCGAAGGAAATCAGACTGTAAAAATAGATAGGGGAATTGTGACAACTAATGTTTGAGAGTATGTGTTTCTTTTTGTTTGCTTACGTGTTTGCGGGGAAAGTGGATGACGGAGGGTGTTTGTGAATGCGTGAATGGGCGAATGAGTGAGAGTTTATAAGCGGAGATTGAGTCCCCTGATTGTTAGTGGATGGCCATAGTAAAACCAGTGTCAGTTGAAACTGCCTCTGGGCGCACAAGAAGTATGTATGTGGGGGCGTATGTGTGGTGATCCAGGCTTACTACTACTGTTGTGAGATACTACTCACTTGTGAGTAGTACGTAAAATAATCCGATCAGTAGTTTCTTTGAACGACCAAAAATGAACATGACCTGTTGGAGCAAGCACTTGCCCTTTGGTACGGTGAACACAATAATGCGCATCTGATAGTGGACCACTCCATTACATATCCGGTCTGTTACGGGGAATTCTGCAAATGTGTTCCGAATGAGAAATTTTGTTATATGAATGACAATTTACCTTGTCCAGACCGTTATTGGCGATGGATGAATCTCCTCGGCTACTATTACTGTTGTGAGATACTACTCACTTGTGAGTAGTCGGTAACTTTCGGTGATTAAAAATAGAACAAGACCATCAAGGACCAAGTAATATATTTGGGAAGAATAAACACTGCCTGCTCTACCCATTACCCTATGTGTCACGATGTGCTGCGAAGGCATGTTTCTGTTATGCATGCAAAATTAGTGACCTTCAATCTGTATTCTGCAATGAAGAATTCTCCTCGACGAGCACTGCCTTTTCGGAATATAACAGTTGGTGCCGTCGCCAGGATCAGAATGAAGGTTCCGTGGCCAGCATCTTTCGAGGATGGGGATTTGCGGATGTTCCTGGAGGAGTTCGAGGATGTGGCGGAGTTGGCCGGAATACGGACGGATCGCGGCAAGTTGACGGCCCTCCGAGCGCTCCTCAAGGGTCGTGCGCGGGCAGTGTTGGACGCGGAACGAAGAGGCCCAGAGAAAATGGAGTGGGCCGCCGCGAAGGACGCCCTGATCGCGGGCTTCGACACCCCGACCGACCGCCAGGAGGCACTCCGTCGCTTCAAAACGGCGCAGCTCGGAGTCGGTGTGGACCCACTTTCGCATGCCGTGACCCTGCGTGGGCTACTGGATCGCGCACTACCGACATTGGATGAGAATACTCGCTCAGAACTACTCCTTGACCGTTTCACAGAGAGTCTCCCGGAAGACATACGCGAGAAAGCGAAACTCATCAATGTGGCACGTACCATGGGCGTAATGACCCTGGCCGAAGTTGCGAGGCAATTCATCGATCAGGAAATTGCGGCGGTGCGACTACAGGAAATCCATTAGGATGAGACGTGAAAGCCACAGTCGACAGACTGACGGATGAAGTGGCGGCACTCAAATCAAATTTCGGACGGAAGAAAAACACAAATGCATGTTTTCATTGTGGCAGGCGAGGTCTTTGGCGGCGAAATGGCCCTGAGAGATGTAAAAAATTCCTGCCAAATGCACGATTGATTCCGTACACGCGTTTTCTCTCAAACAAAGCAAACATTGGAGCAGTAGATCGCGGGGCAGTACAGGCCAAATTGGAAATCGAAGGGCACAGAGAACTATGCTCGATCGATACAGGTGCAGCAGTGTCTTTGGCTAGACCCCAACCAAACGAGCTCCTGGAAAC